GCGCGCGCGCATGCACACGCGTGTGTGTGTGTTAGGGATTATTATCAGAGCACAAGGAGCATGTACTGTATATATCATTTCATTAATTACTGTTCCGTGCTCTAATTATAATGCAGCAGGGACACATTCAACTCTCAGATCTATGCCTTTGCTAAACCTCCATACCATTTCCATTGTCAATCACACACACACACACGTAGACACACAAAAATAGAGAGAAAAAAAGCTTGTTTTCCTCCTTTTGAAAATCAGACCTGCTCCCTGCGCTCTCCATGCAGCTGTCACTCTTCTCTTTCTTCATCTGTCGTCAGCTTTGAGTTGATTCTTCTTCACTAAAATGTCTGGAAAGCAATGCAGAAAAACGGGCAACAGATTTGAAATCTGGGTTTCTCCTGGAGTAGCATCAGAAAGGTGTTTAGGGGATATAGAAGACAGGTTGCAGGTAAATCCGCCTCATGATCATCACAAAACAGGATTGCATCGAGATGCAATATCAGTGATGGAAGTCCAGCTTTAAAGGGGAAACTCTCAAGTGTGCACCCAGTTATGCGCAATTTGTAACTGAAATGGAGCAACAGAGAGTTCTCATAAATACCGAGAAGGATCAGAGTGCACATAAAAATGTTTGTGGATTGAACAGCTTTTGGGTGGACTGCTAAATATGAGAATACCTGACTGTACAAACATTGGAGATAAGTCAGCTGAATGCATAATATAAACCTCAACACGCTGTGTACGGTTTTGGAATGAGGGCCAAAAATACATGCCATTTGCAAATGCCCTGAAACATTGCACAGAAAAGCCTTTTCTCTGTTATTTTTCATTAGCTGTTGAATTTGACTCAGAATTTAGGGAGCTTAAAGATGTTTCATTTATATGCACATAACTTAGAAAACCGCTCGTTGTGCATGTTGCCTAAAAGGAAACAATACCACAAAGGAATCTGACTTTGCCACCACATTGCTATTGTGTACAGAATTGCAATAACTAGCACAGAAATAGAGATGTCAGCATGATTAATTGTGTTCTGCAACTCTTTTAAAATTTAACCTAGATTTAGATGCTAAATATACCAAATTCAAACATCTCGATGCACAATTTAATTCATTTCTCTAAGCAGTGAAGTGATTTCTGGGGTTCTGATCCATTATTTTTTACGCTGCTACCTCTTTAGCATCAAAGACTGGATCCTGGTACACTTATTAAAAATGGTTGCAATTCTAGTTTTCACTAGACCCTATTTAGCCAACCCGCCATACCTAAGACCGGTTTTGATATTTAATTCAGTCTCAGGGTTTCCACTGTGTTCAAATGCCACGCTAGGGCTCTGCTTTTAATCATACCTAAGTAAGAATACAGAAGTGCTCATTCTGCAGAGAAATTATAGATGTGACCATAAACACTAAATCTAACGGCAGCTGTATGCTGGATCATCATTCCACCTTCCCTATACAGTCATAAGATTTAGGTACTAAATGAAAAGCTAAGAAAACTTGTATGGGCACTAAAATTTTCCGTGCAATAAGCTCATTTTAGTACAACAAGGTGAGAAGTTCACCGAAGAGAGGATTAACTCTGAGCCAGACTCCTGCTTTCTCTGTACTGAGGAGTCAGCTGAGGTTTCAGCTCCTATGAAGCAGCCCCATAGATGCCTCAGTTTTGCCTCAGTAGGAGTTAGGGGGGAAATGGAGGCGAAGAGGACATCTGGTGGATACAGAGTAAATGTGATCCTTCACACAATCTGGAAGATAAAGTCCTTCCTGTACTACTCTGTGGTATCTGTGTGAGCACAAAGACACTGAGTGGTGGGATGGATTAAAAAAACAAAGTCTCATGGGCACATGTCAATTTTTCTTTCTTCTTTTAAATTGTTGAGAAAATGAATGACGTAGATTTTTTTTAAATAAACTGAAGCATAGACAGACGTACACACCAGGACTGCTACCCTAACACTTGGATACTCCTTATTAAAGACTGGAGAAACAGGATTGTCTGTTTGTCTAATAAAATTAGTCTGACCTTTAAGTTCATGAAAATTTTAATATGCAATGAAAGTATGAGCGACATAACCATGCTCAATACAGCGCTTTAACTACAAAGTAAACCCTTTGGCGCCATCTAGTGACTGAAGGTCGTGAACGCTGCTTTCACAAATACACAAATACACCAGAGAGAAAATACAAAGACTTTATTACTAAAAATCAAAAATGACAATTTCAGTTTCCAGCCATCTGACGAGGTTTTATATTCATCGGCACAGTGGGATTTCACACTGTGAGCTTAAACACTGCTTTTTCAAGTTTGCCTTTCCCTGCGCAGCGAGCATTGCACTCAAAATGTATTATTATTGACTACCTGACACTTTAAAGAAATGAAGCTTTGGTGAAAATTCTATTCAATACATCTTTATTCTATTATTTATGCTTTGATCTGCTTAACCACTCCCTCCAGAATGTGCCTCTTGATTTGTTTCTGGTGGCGCTATATGTGAGCTAATCAGTCTGCTGTGGCTACTTTTTAATGTATATGCTTCATTCACTCTTTTAAGCCTTTGATTATCCAACCTGCATCTCTAAATCTCTTTTATTCCACCATCTAGACACTCAAGCATCCTTCCTCTTTCTATTTACCTAATTTCTGTGTTGTCAGACTTAATAAACATCTTATGCATTCTGTACTTATCTCTGCTTATTGAAGCACAAACCAAGGACAAGATAAACTGGTGGAGCAGTTCAGTCAATGTAACATTTGACTCATTCACTCTGTACAATGACGTGAGTCCAGTGTTATTCCTACTTTTCATAATATTTATAATGTAGTGTAACGTACCACACTTGTGACTCCGGAACATGGGGGGTAAAATGCACCTGATCTTGGTTGTGTGACATTTTCCTTTTTCAGCATTGGTTAGTGTAAATACAAAATTTGAACATTAACATATTTTCAAGCTAAATTACAAACATATAAACACGTGTGCATACATAAAGTATATAATATGGAAATACATATGCCTTCTGTTGGTACCGAAAGTGTGACTTTGCAATATAGTTAAATCGTTTTATAACGGGTTGTCCGGATACTGATTTCTAAAGGGAAACCACTTAAACTCAGTAATAACAAATTGTCAGTGTGCCTGGTTAGTGTGGCTGGTAGGATGCATTTAAGAAAACACAAGGCAGTTATGGAGAGCCATTCACTGTAAAAAGGTGTGAGATACCTTCAACCAGTCACAGGTTTGTGCTGAAATGTTCAAGTGGATGTGTAGTGCAGGTGTGCCACAGGGCAGATCCTGCCAAGAAGACACTTTGGTATTATGAGAAACTTTTCCGTTATTAGTTCCACCTAAAACTGCCACTGCCTGTGCCTGTGTTATATTTCAACCCCGTTCCAGTTTTGACTGTGAAGTCAGTGGAGTATTCGGTGTAGGTATCTCTCTGGTTTGTTCTCCCCTCCTCTTCTCAGTATCGAATTGGATCTGACTGGTTTCTCGGGTGTCATTGCAGGGTCCTGGCTCTCATTTAGTACCACTGAGGACCCTACTCTTCCTGTTCCTACTGAGGTGTGTCTTCGGAGCTCTGGACTGCTCTGTGCTCCTGCCTCAGAATCACTCTCCTCGCTGGGATCTTTCCCCTGGCTGCTTGGTGAGCTCTCCCCAATCCTGAGAGACAAAAATTCCTTTCAGATTCACGTAACTGAAAGGTTGAGTTTTTTTGAATATGTGTTAGGTTAGCAGTGTTTCTACCTGAGGTGGCTGAAGGCTCGCAGCCAGTGTGTGCCCAACGCATCCCTTCCATTAGTCCTTAGCCCTTTGTGGTGGCTTCGGGCCCTCAGTCCTATTAAGGCCTTAGCAAGTTCAGCCTCATCTCCGTGGCCCCAAATTAACTGGGCCCTCTGCTCCGCATCCTGGTCCCCTGCTGCCCTGAAGAGCCTCTGGAGCTGCCACAGATTCACATTGCTGAAAATGTTCGCTGACCCAGCCTTTCTGCTCCTCCTCTCAGACAGACGCCACAATGTGGAACGGCCCGCCAACATGGAGGAAGAAGGTGAGGCGGGTCCACTATCCATCCAGAGAAACACAGGCAAAGGTGGCATACACGGGGTCTATGCTGTGGAGAAGGAACGGAGAGTTTCAGCTCTGACATGAAGGGTGCTTAGGTTCTTAAATTCATATTTGATTTAAAACAACAACAACAACAACACAATGGTCATGCCATGTGGAAATCTACAGCTGTCAAAGCACCTGGCAGTCAGCTGTGAGTCTTGAAGTTTGATTCTATAATCCTTCTTTAGGAAGTGAGTGACAGGCTGCACGTCAAAGCCCATTAGACTGCAGATGGTAACCTTGTCTTGCTTTCACATACAGTGAGCTTCTGAGTGGGATACTACCAGATAGATAAGTCATCAAGGTCATGACTGATCATGGGTCAGAGCACTCACTTCAGTGACCTCAATAAAGGTGTACTTACCGCCTTCCTGCACAGCTTTCATCTGTAATCCATCTAATAGAATTACTTGTTTAATCCAGCCTGCATTTGTTCTGTTTAAGTCCAGCATTGTTTATGTACATTAATGTCTCAGATGTATCAGCTCCTGGCCAGGAAGGAAATTCCCCACACTCTATGAACCAAGTTTCATTCTGCAAAGGTCCACGTCTGCTTTCCCTGTTACACATTAACTATTTTGTTCCACATGTTTCATAACCGTAGAAGCCTCGGACAGTTTCCTGTGCTCTGTAAGTGTGTGTCATCACAGCCAAACTATAAACAAGAATTCACATTGTAAGCTACTTTGCATGACATCCAAACACTGACGCTGCGGTGTGCGGCTTTAACGCAATGTCGCACATCTACAGAGCTGTTTAGCGTTCGCTTTAAAAGTAGGTTACACCAACCCAAACGTCACTGACTTCTCCTTTCATTCCCCTAGCTGCGTTTACTGTTTGCATAACAAACAGCTGCGGATCACTGGTGCAGACAACCTACCGGGTCGCTTTCAAAATGAACGCTTCTAGAAAAAGTTCAGTTGATCCTTGAAATAACCTTGTTTTTAAAAAAATAAAATAAAATAAAGCAACATGCATGCAGAGAATAAAAAGTAATAGCCCTAATCCGCGCTGTGTTCGCTGCCCTGTGGGCAAAAGGCAGCAAACAAGAATCTCATGAGAGTCATGTGGACAATAAAAAAGCTTCTGCTTACCTGGAGATGACACCGAAATGTTCACTTTTCTTCTATCGCATCTCTCTCTTTCTCTGCTTTGTATTCATCGGTGTGCCTATTCCACTCAAAACTACTCCAGCCGCTGCAGGACCGGGTTTGCCCAGCCTCCGCGATCATTAAGTGTCCTCGGTCTGGCTGTCAATCACAAATAAGATCTGAAGTATATTCTACTCCAGCCTGTCTGGGCTTGGTCAACGTTTTCGCTCCACCAATACCCGCTTTAACTGGGTGGGACATGTCATTGGTCCCGCCTATTGGCCACGTAGGGCGTGCGCACTGAAATCCATTGACGTCAATGAGCCTGGCTGGCACGAGAAGCATCTGTCAATTATGCGAGAAAGAAGCAACATGTGATAATCCTGCGCCTTACACACGTAAACACAGTGACGCAGGGGGCTCATAAACACTGGTGCTGTACGAACAGACGGTGTATTATCATGGCATGTCAGAGCGGAAAGGCAAAGTGGAGAACAATGCCACATCTTAATAATAAAGAAGAAAAATAAGCGCTTCCCGCTGGTTACCTATTAAACAAGGGCTTGGCACAACGGGTAGCCTATATTTTGATCTGGCAGATTTTAGACCGGATGCCCTTCCTGACGCAATCCCAAAGGGATGTGTGTCTCCTCCTGGAATCGAGGCATGGATTTTTCAGCCGAAAGAAACTAAAGTTTCTTGGCTCTAAAGGTGAAGCGTCGAGGTTTGATGTTTGTACATGCATGTTATACATTCCGTCACACTGGTATATAAAAAGGGGAACTACACGAGGAATCTAGCAGCGGATGGGTGAAGTGTTCGTTCAGTCCAGCAGAGGAGGAGCAGGCTTTGAATTACAGGCCACCCCCTATCCATCTCCCAGCCCCCCTACACAGATGCAACATTCAACGGAGGAAAAACGGAAAAGACGAAACACACAAGAAGGTTTATCATTTCAAAACTCCGGAGCTGTGGAAAGAACAGAGAGTTCCTTTTAACCCCACACTCACCCGCTTTTGTCCCACCAGAAGCCCGGCCCTCCAGGCCTTTTATTTTCACACTTTGCCCATCTTTTCCCCAGCTGTTTGCAGCTGGCAAAAAAGCACCCGCCCTGTTCGGGAAAAAGTGGACCGAGAGTGACCGGAGGAGGAGAGAGAACGATGCCACCCGAACCTCCCCAGCCGCAGGTGAGGGGGAACATCCTGAAGTTCCTCAGGAGTTTTATGGGAATTACGCGGATCCTGCAGATCGTGTTCGGAGCCTGCCTGTGGGTAACCATCGCCGCCAACAAATACGGGGGGTCTATCCACTTCGTGCTGTTCGTCGCTGTCTTCTTTTGGCTCCTCACCCTGGCCCTTTTCTTCCTCACCCTGCTGGACAAGCAGGACCTCGTGCCTTTGCTGGGAGGGGATCGCTGGTCGTGCACCAACCTGGCGCACGACGTGGTCGCCGCGGTGCTCTACCTGCCGGCCATTGGCGTCATGATCCACAATACCAATCGAAACTCATTCTGCAACTTGCCTCAGTACATCCATCCATGTCTGTACAAAGTCTACCTGACAGCCGCTGTGTTCGCCTGCTTCTGCTGGCTGGCTTACCTCCTGTCCGTTATTTTTGGAGCGTGCAGAAAGTGTCAAAGAGGGTGAAATGTTGAGCAGCGTGGAAGCTTAAGGGTGGTCATGGCAAGATGAGGAATAGTTAACGTCACTGTAATTTCACTCAGCGGTTACTCTAATCTCTGTTTTCTCCTCTCTCTTAACAATCCACGGTGGTGGTGAAACAGGATCGGCCACCGTTTTCTCGGTGTGTGTTTGATGGTTACTAACATGAAAGAGACCTGTTGGTATGGTGGCTAAGTGCCGTGTATTGTCTCCTTGTTAAACTCAACAATAGCCTATGTAGTTATGAAGACTCTTATAATATTAATAATGTATGGACTTGTTATTGTGGCCTAGCAGTATATTTAGTGGTAACAGTGAAATGGCCTTAACATAGCCTACATTTTGCAGATTACTATTGATACTGGTTAACAGTCCACCTTAAACTTTTTTTAAATAGAATTGCTACAGTTGTTTTAACAGGGGTTTATTTTCATTACCTTTTTAAATATATTTTTATGTTTACTTATTTTTTACTAAAAGGTTGGACTGAAAAATCAGTTTGTTTGTTTGTTTGTTTGTTTGTTTGTTTGTTTGTTTGTTTGTTTGTTTGTTTGTTTAAATCAGTGCCTTCTGTCCGAATGCTGTATACTCAACAACAAGGTGATAACAACAACTCCACAACACAGATGTGACTGGTGCTACAGTGTGTATGCTGAACAAAAACCTTTATCAACAGTTCATTGTGTAAAAATCCAAAGAGCAAAAAATAGGCTTTTATAATAAAGACTAGTCAGTCAGTGAGCTCTTTCTTTCATTGTGATCGTGTATCAGTGCTTTCAGATAAGCTGCTTCAGGACATTGTTTTAATTAAATCTGGAAACAAAACCGGATGAAGAGCACACACAGCACCGAGCCTTTTGTGGTCTTTTTTTTTCTTTTTTAAATGAAACACATAATTAGAGCTGAACAGCAATGGAACTTCCTTTCAGGAGATTAAAGCGTCGGCCAATCAGCAGGGATCATTTACATGCTATGCCACAAAACCACATGAAAGACATCAAACCTTAGACCTATGTGCTTCTTGAAGTAAAATGACTCATTCGAAGGGGCGCAAACAAAATGCATGCGCTGTAGGATAGAGTTGTCTGGGAGTTATCCTACTTTGCAAAAGATGTCTGAGTGCGTGTGTTTAGTCTCGCGTGAACAATAATCTGGGAAGAGGCTTGTTCTTACCGGAACAGTCTGTTGGGGTTCTGGAGGTGGGCTAACATTCAGCCAATGAAAATAAAGCCCAGTGAGTTAGAAGATGATTTGATGTCTCATATATTCCAGTCAGCATACAGTTCCTAAAAACATGCTGCAGACAAATTGCTTGAACAGCACCTAAAACTACATTCTGGCAACTTTTTGACCACCTTTATTCAAAAGAGGCTGATTTGTACTGATATGCTGCATCCTCATTGCTGATATGTAGTTAAAAAACACAAACACACACTTTTCCTTTTTTGGACTTTACTTTTTTTTGCCTTGCATACTGGCAACAAACCATGATGAGTTTTTCTTGGAGAGGAGCGCAAGGATGAAATGTTGTATTATTACCGCTCCAAATTTTAGCATCAAGTGCCAGAATAAAGGCAACAGCCATGCAGTTAATGGATTATAGATCAGCAGTACAATTGAATTATTATCTGAAAAAGAGCTGAAAAAAAGGCTTTTGATTTTGGGAAACATCTGTGGCCAGAATTTCCGGAGTGAAAGGGTTAACATTAACCAGCTGGAGCATCAGGATATAAATCTAGTGCTTCTAAAGGAGGGAAGGAGCCCCCCTTCTACACACGCACACATGCACCCCTCCCTTCCCCCTCTGAGATCAGGAGTGTCATCCTGTCCACGTGTCGGCGCCTGTGGGAAAGCACTGTTGTATACAACCAAATGGAGACGGCACATAACAGCCCACTTTAAACAAAGCAGTATCAAACCGAAGCCATGGTTTCGGTTTGATACTGAAAGTACCCACGGAGAGTCAGTTCAAGTTTTGGATGACTCACGGTGACGGTGGACGCTCACAGTTAAGGCCACAAAAGGAGTCTCCACATTTAAACCTTTAAATTTGACCACATTTACAGGCCCCTCGTTATTCACTGACCGCAGTTTAAAGATCTTGTGTTTTGTGAATGAGTTCATTGTGAGTTTATTTCATAAACATTACATCGATTGTGCAAACAATGAACCCATTTAATCACAGGTAGTGAGACTGGAAACTTACTGGTGTTGGTGCAACAAGGGCGAGGTTGTTGTTTTGGGGGGTTTTTTTGTTTGCTACAAGGGGCGAAAAGAAAACCCAGACACATAGTACATATAGAGTCAGACCATACCCTGGAGTGCCAACTGTGTGATATTTTTTCTGGCAAGTCAACCAAAGAGACGTTTCCTGTATGCCTGCGTGTGCAACCAAGTTATAAAGAGTTCCTCTGCCTCTCCTTGGAAGCACAGCACCCTGTTACAAACTGCAGCCGTGGACTGATGTCACAGAAAAACTTTATTGATCTAACAAGGAGGCCAAAAATGGATAACAATGACATGACTATGTCTTATGGTTGTAATTAAATCACTGGTAAGAAGACCAAATCCAAGACTGTCTTGTTTTTTTGTTTAAAAACGAAACTTTATACTGCCAGACGTACAGTATTTAACAGGTTAGATGAACAGGAGGCTCAGTCTGGCTAAATTTAAAAGGAACAGCACACCATTTGGAACTGTATCACCTCTCTTTGATTTTCATTTGGAGACATTTTCTTATTTTGAAAATTCCACACATGCAGTGGAAGCAGTTTTGTTGCTTCCTGTCCACAAAAGCGGTGAGTAGAGCTGTTTCCTCTAATATGGGAGGAAACATATAATCATATGATGAGTGATTTTAAAAAATTGATTGTCCCTGATGCCTTACATTGACATCTGGTCAGGATGATTATGGACAAGAGGAACCGAGAACATAAGAAGTGATCGAAATACCTTCTGTATAATTTTAAGACAGACTTGAAATAAACATGCGTCCATCTTTTGAACATTTTGGGATTTATACATGCTCAGCATTATTCAAATGGAAATGTTCACATTTAAGAAACATTCACTTTAAAACCACATCCCTCTCTTTTTACTGAGCCTAGTCCTGATCTTCATCCCAGTAGATGATTTGGCAAAGCATTTCACCAACCAGACCTGGTGGCCTATGACGCTGTATTTTTTAGCAGTAAGAGCCAACTCCAAGACTGGAAGAGGTCCTTCGTGTTCCTAGCAACCCAAATCCTTGGTGGGTAACTCCCACTGGAAGTGTTCTGTCCTACCCGTGTATCCTATCAGTTTGTTTGGCTCTTTATTTCCTGTTGGCAGACATCCTGTCTCACTTGGGGAGGTTACGTGTACTCAGATGAAACATGAAAACACTGACAAAAGCACACAGCCGTGCCCTGTTAAGCACATTTTAATCGGCAAGTGCTGAGACGTACATTCCACCACTGCAGAGAGGGAAAGAGGGGCTGGCAAACCAAATGGAGGCCAACTGAACAAGTGAATGAGCAGGGGGGAGATGTGCAAAAACGTCTTTGAGTTCCCAGCAAGAATCTGAGATTGACATTTCCTGTCTGTGTAAGGCATGAATCAGCACAGTGTTCTGGGCATGGAAGGTTTGTTTGCCAGTGATGTTTCAGTTTCTGGTTTCCTATGGTAACTGGGATTTCTTATTCTTATATCTGTTACAGCATTTTTTGCCCAGACAATTTCTGAATGTTCGCAGTGTTCATGTGTTGTGCGAAGAGAATGTCAGCGAGTGGTGGGAAAGGATAATTGCTATTTATAGCCTTGAAAATACCACAGCTTCCCTCCTCAGTCTGCCAGTCCTTAGTCAAGATGTTGAGTGTGTTACAGAGTGAATGTGTCAGGAAAAAGGGGAGGGTGTGGTGAAATTTTTTGCGTCACTGGGTGGATAAAATGGCAAATTTTCTGTCTGACATTTAATGATTCTTATTTCCAACTTACATTATTCACCCTTCATTCGTTCATCATTAAAACTTAATGTCAAAGATGATTATTTTTCCTGTGCCCCAAAACTCTTTATGTGCTGTGTACACAGACGCACTCTGGGATGTAAAACAAACATTCCTTCCAAGCGTGGATCATGGAGTCCTTGTTAATAGCTCACATGGCTCTGAACTGTTTCCCAGCTCAAGTTTACCCAAGCACAGTCTTCACACAAAGAGATCCAAACACTTTTTGTTACATCACACTGCTGTTGTAAGGAAAAACAGCAAATAGCTCTTTCAACCCATATCCCCTCAATGTGTTTAAAACAAATGTGCCTGAGGACATGACACAAGAAAAAAAGAAATATTTGTTTTAATTTTAAACTTTAGATTGTCACACATTGACTTGTTTCTGATAGATTCAACTGCACCACAAATCTCTACATGTCTAAAATCTATGTGTAACGCATAACTTTTCACACACTGTTACAAATTCGTGCTATGATCCAGGCATCCTCTGCGACTGCAAGCAAGGACTAATTTTACCCACTAGGAGGCACAATTGGGACAAAGCATTCAAATGAGTATTTCTCATAGCTGTCCCATCCACAGCCACTGAGAGTCATGAGAGGGTTGCAGTGGGACAATGGATTGTTTGACTGTTGTCAATGGCAAAGGGGGTCCAGCCCTGCAGTAGCAAGGTGTAATTAATGAAGTGGCGAGTCAGTGTATTACTCTCATTTGTCCTTTTCAAGACTATTAAGAGACATTAAGAGAAATATTACAGATATGTACTATTTCTTGTTCATCAGTTGAACTACTTATTCTTCTACAAAAGATCAGTTTTCTTGAGTTCTCTTTACACTGAAGGTTTTTGATGATATCCATGTGGTTTTCATTGACTCATCAGAGGCTTGTTCCAGTAAATCAGCTTTCAGACACTCTTCACATGCACAAAAAATGCTGTTCCTCAATTTTCCCACTGAATACTTACACTCAACAAAAATATAAACGCAACACCTTTGTTACTGCTCCCATTCCCCATGGGATGGACGTAGAGACCTAAAATTCATTCCAGATACACAATATAACCATCCCTCCCAAACAGTGGTCACAAATCAGTCCAAATGTGTGGTAGTGGGCACATCTGCTATATTGAGATAATCCATCCCACCTCACAGGTGTGCCACATCAGGATGCTGATCTGACATCATGAGTAGTGCACAGGTGTACCTCAGACTGCCCACAACAAAAGGCCACCCTGGAATGTGCAGTTTTTTGCGCTATTGGGGGTCTGGGGACCCAGAACCGGTCAGTATCTGGTGTGACCACCATTTGCCTCATGCAGTGCAACACATCGTCGCATGGAGTCTATCAGATTGTCAATTGTGGCCTGTGGAATGTTGGTCCACTCCACTTCAATGGCTGTGCGAGGTTGTTGGATATTCGTGGGAACTGGTACACGCTGTCGTATACGCCGGTCAAGCACATCCCGAACATGCTCAATGGGTGACATGTCCGGTGAGTATGCTGGCCATGCAAGAACTGGGACATTCTCAGCTGCCATCTGCCCTGAACAATGTGAACCATGATTCATCCGTGAAGCGCACACCTCTCCAACGTGCCAGACGCCATCGAATGTGAGCATTTGCCCACACAAGTCTGTTACGGCGACGAGCTGGAGTCAGGTCAAGACCCCGATGAGGACGACGGGCATGCAGTTGAGCGTCCCTGAGACGGTTTCTGACAGTTTGTGCAGAAATTGTTTGGTTGTGCAAACCAATTGTTCCAGCAGCTGTCTGGGTGGCTGGTCTCAGACGATCTTGGAGGTGAACCTGCTGGATGTGGAGGTCCTGGGCTGGTGTGGTTACACGAGGTCTGCGGTTGTGAGGCCGGTTGGATGTGCTGCCATATTCTCTGAAACGCCTGTGGAGACGGCTTATGGTTGAGAAATGAACATTCAATGCACGGGCGACAGATCTGGTTGACATTCCTGCTGTCAGCATGCCAATTGCACGCTCCCTCATTGCTTGTGGCATCTGTGGCATTTTGCTGTGAGACAAAACTGCACATTCCAGGGTGGCCTTTTGTTGTGGGCAGTCTGAGGTACACCTGTGCACTACTCATGATGTCAGATCAGCATCCTGATGTGGCACACCTGTGAGGTGGGATGGATTATCTCAATATAGCAGATGTGCCCACTACCACACATTTGGACTGATTTGTGACCACTGTTTGGGAGGGATGGTTATATTGTGTATCTGGAATGAATTTTAGGTCTCTACGTCCATCCCATGGGGAATGGGAGCAGTAACAAAGGTGTTGCGTTTATATTTTTGTTGAGTGTAGTAGTATTGCAGTATTGTAAAAGATAACATCAGAACACACAAGTCCATATTTAGCAAAGAGGACCATTCTTGGGGCTGACTAGCTTCACTGGAAATTTCTAAGAAGTAATGCAAAGGCCATTTTGGATTAGTTTAGATCTAGAGCATGACCACAAGATTAAAAGTGACAAGACAACCAAAATACCAACATTTGTTTATCACTCATAAAGACTTTGCTTTAAAAAATGTAGCAAAATATCTGTCAAAAGTAGGATGTAGCAGTGGATGAAGGGGAAAGGTCCCATTTACTGATCCAAGTCTAACAATTCTAGTTGTAACATATGGTTGTAATGAAATGAAGAGGAGAAACATTGATGCAGCAATGTGTTAAATAAAACTTGAAAGAACCAGTGACTGCTGAGTGTCACTGATTTCTCAACTTGGCTGAACATCCAACTCTTGGCACCCAAGACTCCAGACATGATAAGGAACTCTTTGAAACACCGTCACAATTGGCTGGTTATCAGGATTTGCACAAAAGCGGAGTATACGACTATAAATATACTGTGTTTTGTCAGGTTTGCAGTGAAACATTTGATATTAAATCTGAAGCTGGACAAAAGTGAAGTTTCTTCACTGGACGTTTAGGCTTGCCAGATAAGTCAGACATTACTTAGATTCTGATTTTATTTGTTATTCATGAGATTTTATTCAGTATGTCACACAACCCGTCTCTCATATCAGCTCCTTTTTGTTGTTTTATTTTGCTCTTTTCTTACAAACGCGGTTACTTAACCTTTTAGTTCTTAAGAATCTCTCTATAAATACACAACTGCTACATTTCAGTGTCACAGGGGTGATCCTGGTCATTTCCCCACACTTTAAAGGGAACTGTTAAGCTTTTCTTTATGGTGGCTGTGGCTACAATGTAGCTTGCCATCACCAGTGTGTGAATGGGTGGATGACTGGATGTGTGAAGCGCTTTGGGGTCCTTAGGGACTAGTAAAGCACTATATAAATGCAGGCCATTTACCATTTCTTTATTTCCTATCATGAAAAATTATACCAATTACTGAAGTGGGTGTTCATATTACAGATGAACAAATAATAAAATCATCATATATACAAATAATCTCTGTAATCTCTGCTGGAAAATAAGAGGGGCTGTTACTAATTTGGTTGCCAGGCACTCAGAAGCATAGCATCTCTATCCAACTGCTGTTCAAACTTTCTGTTTGTGAAATGCAACCAATGAGAAGACAGCTCAAGAAATTATGCAATACTTCTAATAGAGTAAATATGAAACGGGTATTGATAGCAATAGATTTTAAATGTATAGCCATTTCAGTAAGCAGTAGCAACAGTTAAATGTTTTATAGGCAAAGCACAAACAGGTAAAATAGAGATGCAACCAGATTATTGCAAATGCAAATGTCCATTTGAGAATTAACTTCTTTGCCTTTCTTACATGCTGCTTTCTTACACTATACCCATAAAATATAATATAAATATATTCATATTTCAAATATAAAATATGTGTTGTAATAGATAGATAGATAGATAGATAGATAGATAGATAGATAGATAGATAGATAGATAGATAGATAGATAGATAGATAGATAGATAGATAGATAGA